AATCTGTCATGGTGAGGGTATTTACACTTTGGGTCGCAAATATACCATAACTCTAGGCTGTTTTCCCCAGAGAGCCGGCTGTCACTAGCACTCGGTTGTCCGATATGTTCCTCCCGATGAGCAGTTGACCTTGCCGGGGTTCGGCCGTCAGCTGCAGCCTCTTTCACTTTCCTGTCCCATAATTCCTTGACCACACCCAGTGACTCCTCTGAGGCCTCCAGTAGCCCTCTTCCTGACACCTCTCCCACTTATTCCACTACAGACAGGAAAGACCCCACTCTGGTGATCAGAGGATGGCAGGCTCCAAGGCCCAACTGGCTCTGCCTCCACCTCATGCTGTAGTCGCTGCTGCTGGGCCACCCACTGTCGGGCCTCCGATGGCAGAAGCAGGGCTTCCCTGGGCCAGCCTCCACCTCTGTGCAGCGTTTCTGAGGATGGTCTTATAACCGTCTCCAGGTGTGCCCTCCTGCCCTTTTTTGGGCCTTTTCACTCTTGACCTCCCAGATGTTTTACTTTTGGCATGGAAGTAGGGTAGTTTGCAGGTTGTAATTCAGAGTCACTTTAAAACATCTTTTAAAAAGGGCCTGAGAAATACATAAACAAGGCCAGTGGAGAAAGAGTTACCTCTAAAGTGTTAGAGCCAGGATAAGAGTGTTAGAGCCAGGATAGGGGTGTTAGAGCTGGGATAGGGGTATGAGAGCTGAGGTAGGGGTGTTAGAGCCGGGATAGGAGTGTTAGAGCCAGGATAGGGGTGTTAGAGCCGGGATAGGGGTGTTAGAGCCAGGATAGAGGGTTAGAACCGGGATAAGAGGGTTAGAGCCAGGATAGGGGTGTTAGATCCGGAATAGGAGGGTTAGAGCCGGGGTAAGAGGGTTAGGGCCAAGATAGAGGTGTTAGTGCTGGGATATGGGCAGAGGCCCTGGATACTCAGCTTGGTGGTAAACATCTGGGGCCTATTTATAGGAAGCCATAATAGTAATTTTCTTTCCTCACCTGCTCTGCCCTCATCGTGATTAGCATTTTTTAACCCAACCTCCAGAAAGCATGTGTGAAAGCCAAACCCAGCTCTCAGTTGCTGAGTACCAGCTTCAGGCACTGCTGGATCCAGAGGCTTAAAATGATGTCACAGGAAAAATGGTCTCTCTCCGCACTGGCACTCCTGCCTGTCCTCTTTGTGGACATCTTCCTGTGGGCTGGTAGATCCAGGCTCACGTCCAGTCTCTGGGAAACCCTGTGGGAAGAAAGCTGCCTTTTTCTAAGGTGAACGAAAGTCCCCCTGTTTGGGGTTGGGTGATGGGCCTGTGCCTGGAACTGCGGGGTCCAGCCCCACGTGACAGGAGGAAAAACATGTTCCCACGAGAAATCTTGGGTACCATTGCTTAGAGGGAGAAACAGATGCCGTGTGATGGGCACAGTGGGTGTTCACAGAAGCCATGAACCAGGGATGAGCCTGGGGCCCCAGCCCAGGGCAGCCAATGTTGGAGTCTGTCACTGGCGGGGTGTGGATATGGGAGTCAGCCGGTCTGTGCCGGTGGCCCAGCAAGGAGGAGAGCAGCTGCCTGGCTTCCCTCTGGTCTTTGTGAGAGAAATGGGTTCTACGGAGCAGGTCCTGGTGTGACTGTGGTCAGCACACAGCTTCAAAGAAATCATTTGCTCATCTCTGACTCCTCTGTATAAGCCACCTCAGCATGCGTGGGTGTCCTTTATTCTCACAGTGAGCCCCCTTCCTCCTTCCCACCCTCTGAGGCCACTCTTCATCTCTCGCCTCCTTTTCCCAGCTGAACCTCCGAAAAGTAGAAAAAACTTCGCCTTCCACTTGCTTCTCCGTACGGGGCGCAGTGCCTTCCTCCCTCCATCACCCTGCCTAGAACTGATCTTAGCAGTCCTGGCCTCTGAGGGTCAGGAACGACCGTCCTGCTTCACACTCCGCAGGCAGCCACACGCTGCTGAGCCACACACTGCAGGTGGCGTTGTCTCCCTCCCTGTCCTACACACTCAGCTGAAAGCGGGCTTGTCCCAGGAAGCCTTCCCTATCTGCCTCGTCCCACAACATTCCTAGACCCCGGAGGCACCTTACCATAAAGCTTGTGAAATTGTGTTATGTTCATCTTTTCTCTGTCTCCCTTCCAAACTGTGAGCTCCCTGGGGGTAAGAGCTGTGTCTGTCTTTAGCCCCCGGTGAGGAGGCCCTCCAAATAGGGTGAGGGACTGGCAGGGAAGAGGGGTACATCTGCTGTTCCCGTAACTTATAGTTTCTGAGGTGTTTCTTCAAGCAGACGTCCCCAGCCCCCGGGTTGTGGACCAGCAGCAGTCCATGGTCTGTTAGGAGCCAGGCTGCACAGCAGGAGGTGAGTGGCCTGCGAGCAAGCATGACTGCCTGAGCTGCGCCTCCTGTCAGATCAGAAGCGGGGCATTAGATTCTCATAGGAGTGCAAGCCCTATTGTGAATGGCATGTGCAAGGGATCTAGGCTCTGCATGCCTTATGAGAATCTAATGGCTAATGATCTGAGGTGGAAAGTTTCATCCCAAAACCATCCCCCGCCACCCCACTTCCCCCAGCCCCCTGGTCTGTGGAAAAATTGTCTTCCACAAAACCAGTCCCTAGTCCCCAAAATCAGTCCTGGGGACTGCCGTCTTAAAGGACTCTAGCCCCTTGGTTTTTTCTGTCTGCTCCTTCCCACCAGCCCACATTGGATCCTAAGACCAAATAGATACCATGCATGTAAGGTGACAAATAGACCAAATTTAACCATGCATATGCAAGAGACAATTTTCTAAACCTGCAGAGAGCTTGAAAGAACGATGAATGTCCATGCACCCTTTGCCTACATTCACTAATAATTAATATAACCAAGTATATATTTGCATTATTGGCTCACTGGAAACACTGGAAATCCGTGAAATTAGTCATTTTTGTAAGAGTATATAGAATATGAAACCCTATAACAATTAGAGCCTGGAATTTGTCCTTTTTGAAAATAGGCCTTACCTTTGCATATTTCAGCATTAGTCATAAAACTATACTGATGCTATAACCTAAAGAATTGGGAATTGAAAGTTGTCAGAGTGATACGTGCAGTAGGGCTGGTCTACTGGATTCAGGTCTCCACTCTACAACTGAATAGCTTTGTGAGTTTGGGCAAGGTACTTCTCTGCGGCCCCATTGCCTCACCCATGAAGTGACGACAATAATTCAGAGGGATGTTGAGAAGAGTAAATGGGTCAGAGTATATGAAAGAGCCAACCTGGAGAATATGCTCCTTAAATGGCAGTTTGCAGATGGTGGCAGAAGAAGAGAAAAAGGAGAGGAAACTGTGGGCGTCCCAACATTCTCACCTCCTTTTCATAGCCAGGACATTTCAGCTGTGGGTCAGGTTTCTTGAAGGGAAACATATTCGGCTCCAAGTGGTAGGGCTTTCTCTCTCCTAAGCTGTCCCTAGAGTCCTGTAATCCTCAGCCTCTCTTAGCCACCCTGGATACGAGACCCCACTGGAAGCTACTCTGCTGGAAAGTTCCTAGAAGCGAGGAACCAGTTTCTCTTGGCAGTCCCTCTAACACCAGAAGCCCTGAGCATGCGTCTCCTCTGTGTTTGCCGGGAGTGAGCACTGGGACCATAATGTCCTGGAGACGGGAGCTGAGGCCAGGGGCTACCCAGCGTCCCTCTGCTGCTTGTGGCCTGCCGCAGCCTCGGGCTGACGAATTCAGCAGTAACCAAAACCCCTTTTGGGTTTCAACTCTCATTTTCCAAAATCAGTATTAAATGTGGGCATTTTATTTCTGGCCTCAGTAAGCAGAGAATAGTCAATGTGGCAGAATCTGATTTCGTTGATTATAGACTGAGTAGGGTCCCAAGGAGATATATGTAGATCAATTTGGGGTGTCCGTGGGGCTCCAGCTGCGTGTGTAGGGAGTGTGGGCCTAGGACCGAGGGTGCCCTGGAGTTCCCATTTTTGGAAATGACACAGACTTCCTATCACCTCTTGTCATCTGCCGTCTTCTCCTAAAATGCCAGAATAGGTTTTAGTTTGTTGGGATTTTTTTTTTTTTCCTAAATAACAACAGCAACAACAAAATAGAATGGCACTGCAGAGTGCTGTCCTCATGAGAACTACATGGTCTTCACCCGTAGGTGGAAAGACACAAGAAAAGTCCTAGTGAGCGCCTCGGAAAATAGTAAATACATGGCTTGTGTGGAAAACCAAGTTGCTGCTTACGGCCAGTCAGCAGCATGCTGATTCTCAGCCTCTCCTGACACAGTCTGTCCCTGGTAGAGATGTGGGCCAGCAAACGTGAGAACCTGAAACCCACAGAGCTAGGGTATGAGAGTGCCCCTCCCCTGCCACGCTCAGCCCCCAGCCACTGCTCATCCACAGCTGCCGAATGTGACCACTACATCTGTGGGTGGCTAGGATTTCCAAACATTCATACTTAATAGAGTAATGGTTGTTGACTGAAGGAACATCCACTTTAGTAGTATGGGGATATCAGATCCTTAAGAGGTGCTGGAGATGGGCTGCTCTCCTCCTAGAGCCCCAGGTAGGTAATAGGAAAGGGAGCTCATTTGTTTTGCTGAAACAGCAAAACCTGGTTTGTAGCCTAGGACACATTAAAATGGAATGAATTCATTGGGCAGAAAACCATCTGCTGGGTAAGTTTAGTGAAATGAGATCAGGCCGTGGTTGTCCCCATTCCCTGTCCCTCCACCCCTAACCCCAGCTATCTGAGTTGGTTTCGAGACAGGAGCCCAGGCTGGAAGGTGCCCATCAATCCCACAGCTCTCCCTGGGGATCCTAGGGATCTGCAGCTCTGTGCTCCCTGCAATCCAGGCTTTTGTTCTTAGTACACAGAGTACTCCCTTTCTCTTGCTTCAGGCCTCCCTCCTTCCCCCTGTGGAAGGGGAGACATCTGCCCCACTCAGGGGCCGCAGATTCCTTTTAAAGACAGGCTGGGTCCCCCCACCCCCAGCACCTTGATTCTTTGGTCTTCAATTTGCTTTCTAGCTCTCAAAGACTCCGGTAAGGGATCCATCAACAGTGACTGGAAGATAGAGCTCCCCGGAGAGTTCCAGATTGCAGGCACAACTGTTCGCTATGTGAGAAGGGGATTATGGGAGAAGATTTCTGCCAAGGGACCAACGAAACTACCGCTGCACTTGATGGTAACTTGCTGGGCTTCCACACTTGTCTTAGGGGGCATGGCTCCAAGAGGTCTACAAGCTTACTTTCCAGTTTACTTCTTCCTGGTACCTTGGGGGCAGGAAATGCATCCAGCTTCCAGGGGTTTATGAGGTCCCCTGCTGCTCAGTCCTCTCCCTTCTCTGGGTCTTTTCTTTTCCAGTCCCTTGCACTGCCTGCTTCAGAATTCTGTCATTGCTTCCCCTGGCTCTTCCCTGGCAGAGCTCCTATCTTTTTCAAAAGGAGCTGCCTCAAAGAAGGAAATGCTTAGCCACGTGGATGGCAGCCAGGGAGAGTTGACCTCGTTAAGCAGACAGCCCCACTCAAAGTCTGTTTTCACATCAGGTAGTGGGATGCATAGATCTGCCCTCACAGAGTGTATATCATTACCTTTTGCAAATGAACTTTGACTCCAGGTCCGAACTAGCATCCCTTAGATTTCACAGACCCAGCTTGCAACAGGCATTTGGGAATCCAGAAGGGGGATCAGATGATGCGGGTGTCCTACTCCCCAGATGATCTCCAGAAACCTGTGTGCTATTGGGCCAGGCCAGGGCGCCATCGTCTTACCTGTTGTCTCAGGGAGGCCTCCATGCAAGCCACTGAAACATCAGTGATGCATGCTTTTAAACGTGTCAGAGATCTCCAGGGAATGGAACGCCCTGCTTCCTTCTCAAGATCCAGGAGTTCTCATGGCTAACTTCTGATAGCTCATCATTATTGATTCTGTGTCTCCTTCCAGAAAACAGGATTTGTGGCAGCTTGTGCCCCTGTAATTAAAGCACACTTTGTCCTCAGTGCCTGCCAGAGTCTCTCCATGGAAGTTCTTCTTCCCCATTAATTTGTGATCTCTGGCAGCCTGTAAGTGTTCCAGATTAATTGACACCCAAAAGATTTTCTAGCCATTACCCAGGGAATCTCCCGAGGAGGCTTGCTCTGCCAGGGAGCACTGGCACCCAGGGTGGGCATTACCCCATAGTGGTGTTAACCCCGTTACGATTTCTGGGTAGACAAAGGCAAGGCAGTTTTCATGTGCAATCTCAACCACGTAGAAATCTGCCAGTGCACCACTCAGCCCGCTAAATCCACTGCAAATACGTTCCTGCAAGTAGGTTTCTGGGACCTAATAATGTGTACCTAAGTCATTTCTCTGGGATAAGATTGTTTCCTAGTCACAGAACAAATCCTCCTATTCCGAGTTAAAAGCAGTTATTCAGAGGGACTAAGAGAGGAGGCAAAACATAAAACCTGTACTGAAACCTCACCTGTTAACATGAGAATTTGCTTTCTCTAGCAAACACCAATGTGAGTGTATTTCCCTTTTCACCAAAAGCTTTTGTAAACTGAGCAAGTTGTTAGCCCGTTAAAGCGAAGTACGCAGCCTGGATTCATTCAGACCAGGATGAACAAAACTCGGAGAAAGCAACTACTACCGTAACTGAAGTTTCAGCCCTCGCTTAATATTGATGGCTTTTCTTTCAAAATGTGATTGTCACTTGAAGATTTTAAAACTGAAAATGAGAGGTGCCCCTTTGCCTCTATATAGAAAGCCATTGTCCCCAAACTGGGGTGTACACACTGTTTGCAGAATCTGTAGCACCCAAAGAATCATGGGGACCTGCATTTGAAACCAATTATACACACACACACACACACACAAAATACGTGGCTACAAAATTGCATGAAATTTGTTTCATATGAATTCTCAATTCACCAGTCTTATTCTCATACTGAGCTGATAAAGATCTCTTTCTAAGACTAGTTTGGTTTTTGGTGGACTTGTTTTCCTAACTGGAGGCATTTTTCCAAATGTGTTACGCCAGGTCTCTCTGGTGAAGCCGTGGATGTTGATGCAGTTAGGTTTGCTCTTAGCACTGCAGCCCAACCCCACAACTCAGCCTTGGAGACTGAGAGATGGCTGGAGGGAAATGGCTCCCATTGTCTGGTACACTTTGACCTGGTCTGCCACAAGTCAAGTCAGGTGGGCCATGCACACCCTCCCCTTAGTGCCTGCTGGCCCATTCTCTCGGACGTCTCAGGCTGGAAGTGAATCTGCTAGTTACTTAGACCCAGGGGCACTCACTGCTTCCAGGCTTAGCTTGAAGACTCATTATCCACAGACAAACCATGTTAAGCTCCTACAAGAGGGCTTGTTTGACACCATTGTGTCTAGATAAATAAAACTGATCATACACCTGCTGTCTTTACAAGACTTGTCACATGCCGTTCTAAACCCATCTATTCTGTATATTCTTGCTGACTAGGATTTCAGATCCAAGGTCTCCAAGCTGTATGGTAGTTTCCCACAAAACATGATAGATCCCTCCCTCTACCTCCACTGCACTCCTGGCTTGAAGCCTTGAGCCTGGCTCCTGCCACCCTTGGGTACAGTCATCATCCTGGCTCCCATGGCAGTGGAGGCCTCTTGCATCCTTGAACTCTCAAACCGATGCCACCCAAAGTCCTCTGGCAGTGAGCTGCATTTTGCCCTTGAGCTTGCCTTACCCCTGACTCTCTGGACCAACTGACATGGCAGTGGTTGATGATGGGGAGTGAAGGATGATGTTCATTTCCAAAGAAGTAGAGTCACCGCACTTGCTCTGATGCCTTTCTAGGTAAAAGTTTATCCATGTCTTTCCTGTGTGCAAGGGCAGCTTTGTGGGTGAACACGCAGGACTGTTCTCTGCGTGGAGCAACTCTCCATGAAAAGCGCAGTGAGAGGTTTCAGAGTTGCTTATCCTAAAGCTCCTAGTCTAAGCTGGTCTCTCTCTTGGGTAGGAAATAATAGAACTTCCTGATGATGGTTTGCATTCGCCCTGCTCCCAAGTTGAGTCCCTGAGGAATCCAGGGCTGAGATAAAGGAGCACCCTCAGTCAAACCTGTTTTCAGCCCCAGAAAAGAGCTGGTTACCCCTCATAGAGAAACAGCCACGGTGTGCCTGTGTGTGCAGATTTGGCAATCCCGTGGGCCTTCGTTCCTTTTCAAAATGGCCTTTTGTTTTGCGGCTGATCCAGGTGTTGTTATTTCACGACCAAGATTATGGAATTCATTATGAATACACTGTTCCTGTAAACCACACTGCGGAAAATCAAAGTGAACCAGAAAAACCGCAGGATTCTTTGTTCATCTGGACCCATAGCGGCTGGGAAGGGTGCAGTGTGCAGTGTGGAGGAGGTGAGTGGCCGTGGGCCGTGGCCTATTGGGTGTGGGGTTTTGCTGAAGGAAGGAGAAAGGCATCTGTGGCCAGCACACAGAGTCTGGGAAATCTGTAACCTGTAGTTCCATGGGAATTTAATCATACCCCACTGAAAATCTCTCTGTAGAATACTTGGGTAGAGTCTTCCCAACTCCCACACTAGGATCATGCCCATACCGCTGCTTTGCCCGGGGCTCAGGGCCCCCCAGCTCTGACCTGTGGGTGAAGTGGGGTTTGGCTGATGTATGACTACGTCTTGGGTGTGACAGGTGGACCCTGGGAATAAACAGAATAGACCTTCAACTGTTGCCGCTTGCTGGAGGGGCACCAAAGCATGTCTCTGCCCACTCCCAAATTCCCTTCCCTCTTGGCCACAGTCACCTCACTCCAGGACACAATGGAAAGAAAAAGTCCTGCAAGTCAGGTGAAACATTCCTAGCATGAGTCCTGACTGCACAACTTCCTGCTTGACCTCAGCAAATGACTTCCTCTCTCTACCACGAGTTCCCTCACCTCTAAAATAGGATAGTTGTCTCTCATGCCCCCTGCAGGGTCTGCAGGGTGAGCCAAAGAGCCTGTCATACAGCAAGAATCCATATGACCACAAGGCATTGTATTTATTGTTGTGTCATTGAGAGAGAGCAGTAGGAAGTCATTCTGAACTCTGAGTCAGCAGTTTCTTAGTACAGTGCTGTCTGTCACCCTAGTAGGGAACATAGCAGGGTCATGGAAGATGGAACACAGGGTGGGTGGATTTTAGTGGGCTCAGAGTTGGGACAGAAGATTGACCTGGACTCTGGTAGGCCAGCCCAGAGAGTTGGATGACGAAATGGAAGCCCGGGCATAGCCCCTGCCATCCCTAGTCCTGAGCATCTATTAACTGCTTGGATAAGTTTTATTGGATGTCCAATATGTAAAGCATTGCTTACCATTTAAGGGACTCATCCCATTTTTCATGGGTAGGAGTTATAGACACACAGGAATTCCTTCCTGGGCATCTTGGCCAACCACCCTCACTGTCTGTGCTTAGCCTCTTCCTGCAGCAGCCCTGCGGCAGTTGGCATAGCCTCTGGATACCACCATCAGCCCTGCATCCTCCACTCTGCACCTCTTCCCGGGGGACCTTCTCCCCCTCAGCCCTTAGCTGCCCGTTGTGCACATGGCCTTTCAACCTCCAAATCCAGCCAACACATCTACCTCTGATTCCAGCCAGATTTTCCTCTTGGGCAACTTGTCGCAAACTAAGCATAGCCCACATGGAAGAGTAAACAGGCTCTCCTGGGGTCAGGGGCAGGCTGCTCTGTTGCTGTTGGCTTGATGGCAATCCTTTTATGACACTGATGACTTCCAGCTTCCTAACACAGTGGTCAGACCTGCCACCACAGCTGAAAGCAGTTCTGTGCTTTCTGTACTCACAAAAGGCTGCCATGTGGGGCAGCAGGAACTGGCGGTGGAGTTCAGGTCTCCATGATTTCGAGTCATCCCTACGTGACAAATTGCCCAGGACACAGACCAGCAGGGAGCCCAGGATCCAAATAGTTGTGCTCGACTCCCTATTAATCTTTTATTGTCACTCTTCCCAAATAATAATAATAATGACAGCAGTAGAGCTAACATGAAGTGTTAGCCACCTGCCAGGTTCCGTTCTATGGACACCATATATATTTGTTTATTTTAATCATCACTGAGGCACCCTCAGGCACAGAGAAATTAAGCAAACCAGCCTGCTTGAGGAAACCGAGATGCAGAAACATGGTGGCCAACTGTCGACACTATGGTCACTGTGATGCTATTTGTGATAGAGCCAAGACTTGAACCCAGACAGCCTGGCTCCAAGGGCCACCCTCATAACTCCCAGTCACTCAGCCTGCCTGACAAAGGCCTGCCTGCCATGCAGTGTTTAGGGTGCTCTGGGAACACCCAAAAGAAGGGCTATATCCAACTGGGATAATGGATTAGCAAAGCTTCTCAAGAGCAGGTGGGAGCTCCGCCATAAGTACCAGCTGGCTGGCTAGACAAATTCAGAATGGCTCTGGAATGCCTGTCTAGAGGATGCAGGTCTGCGTGTCTTCCAGACCAGACTCCTTGTCCCCCACTTCTCCCCAGCAAGTAGGAGTTCTGTAATAGGTAGCCAGACTCTCTAGTGAGGGCTGATGTGTAAGTATTTAATTGAGATCGGATTCCATAGACTTTAAACATCAATCCAGAAGATAAAAAGATGAGCAATCTTTGGAAATTAAAGGCCCAAATCAACGAACCCCAAGCTGTCCAAGGACACGGCTGATCTGAGGTGTTGCTGCTTTCTCATCCTGTTCTAGAATCTTCCAGGGCCCCACTCTGCCTTCTGTGTCTTGCACCCTCCTCCCTGCAATTACAGTTCTTCTCTACAAACCCACACAACATTTACAACAGTCACTCTAAATGACAAAGTGCCCATCAGCAGCACCCAAACATTCCTTCATGGGCATGCAAGCCCAGCCTTTCCAGGTGGGTGAGGCCACAGTCTCTCAGCTCCCTGTGGTTTGGTTTCCAGGGGAGCGCAGAACCATCGTCTCATGCACACGGATTGTCAACAAGACCACAACTCTGGTGAACGACAGTGACTGCCCTCAAGCAAGCCGCCCAGAGCCCCAGGTCCGAAGGTGCAACTTGCACCCCTGCCAGTCACGGTAAGGAGCTGGGTTCTGTTCTGTAGCTTGGACCAACCAGAATCTGGGGCAGCAGCACCATCAATGGTGGGGAGCAATAGGCAGTTAATGCCACAGTACTGCTCTATGCTATGTTCCGTTATTGTTGATGAGTGATTTCTGCTTGCTCAAATTACCAAATTTCTAGCTACTGAGCCAGAACTCTGATGGAAATACAGTCTTCACTGGAAGGCATTCTGTAGGAGACCATTAGTAACATCTCATGGCACAGGAAAAAAAAAAAAAGCCACCACCACACTTTTAACCAGTACCCATTGGCTTCCCCAAATTACTTTGTCTTGGTGGAGAAGGAAACAAATATTGGCATCTGAGTGTCCAGGAGAAAGGGTGCACACAGGCTAATGTTGTGGGTGACCTGTTTCAGTGGCTGAAATTCATGCCAATGAGTGTGGATCTTGGTGTTTGTTCTTTGGGATCAATCAGAACTTCTGTCCCAACCCCAGCTTTCATGGCCGTGTTACCGATGTGAACTCTCTTAGGTTGTCAGGAGATGAATTGTGTGGAATGTGTTCATCAGCTAAGCCTCCTCTTTTCGAGTCATTTTAGCGTGACTTCGGCAAATCCATTACATTGTGTCATGTCACCCTTTGACCTTCCGTTCTGCTCTGAATTGAGGTGAATGGTTTTTGCTTTGCGGTTCTGTGTATCATTTAAGGCATGTTGACCTTTTCCAATTAGACTGGGTGTTTAGTATTTCCATTTTTTAGGTTTCTTAACTCAATTTGTGCCGCTCGCCTAGTACAAGAGTTTCACAACATATTTGGCTTCTGCACCAACCCACTTTGTTTTGTCAAACTCTTAAAATGTGTTTGAGTGAGAAAGAGAGGAGACAGGAAGGAAAAAAAGAAGGTGAGTCTTGCTGCGATGATTTTCTGTGCTCCTTGCCAAATTAAGAATGAAATTCCACCCTTAAGGCTGAAGGTCTGGAGGAAGAGCTCACTGCAGGAAATCTGCTTGAGCACCCTCGGTATGAGCAGCCGTACTACAAACCTATCGATCAGTCCCTCAACAAGTCACATTCATGGGCCACAGAAAGGACTTGCCACTGTAAAGACTCAGCAGTCTAACAGGCTACAGCCTCTTCTCTGGAAACTAAAGATGGCCTGGCCCTGGTGAAGTGATTGGAAAATAGGGTAAGAGACGATGGAGGAGGAGAGGTCAACATGAGTTCAATGGCATGATTGAGCAAAAAGGTCTTAGGGCTCCATTCGAGAAGCATATTTTAAAATCAGTTCTGTTTTCAAACTATTTTATACCCAAGTCTTTTTAAAATTATGCACAGAAACCAATAAAATGAAACAGATGAAATGAAAGCTGCTGCCACTGAATTGAGACACACACGTGATGTGGCAGAGTGGGCCAGTCTACTCTGCCTTTTCCACCTCTCACAGTAGGTCCTGGCTCTTCTGTGGGACTCCAGGGATAAAGTTTAAAAATCAAGGGTTCTGCTTCCTGTAATGATAGAGTAGCTTATATTGGACCAACCCTCCTGCAGATTACAATTACAAACTCTGGAGACAGTATAAAAAGCAACTGTTTAAAAGCTAGAAAGCAGCCTGGGAGAGGGGGCTCCCGCCTGTAATCCCAGCACTTTGGGAGGCCAAGGCGGGCAGATCACTTGAGGTCAGGAGTTCGAGATCAGCCTGGCCAACATGGTGAAACCCTGTCTCTACTAAAAATATAAAAATTAGCCGGGTGTGGTGGCAGATGCCTGTAATCTCAGCTACTCAGGAGGCTGAGGCAGGAGAATTGCTTGAACCTGGGAGGCGGAAGTTGCAGTGAGCCGAGATCGTGCCACTGCACTCCAGCCTGGGCAACAGAGCGAGACTCCATCTCAAAAATTAATTAATTAGTTAAAGCTAGAAAGCAATTAGAAACTGAAGAGAAATAAAGAAATGGAGGAATAGAGTGGCATGGAATTGAATTACCCATGTTGACAGCTCTTTAACCAAATGAAGGCCCTAGTTCCATGGAGACTAACTAAAAGTCTGATAGATACCTGCCATCTTTTACTGGTTAAGCCATCAAAGGAGAATATTCAGGGAAACCCATAGCAGCTAGAAATTGAGAAGGAAAAACTCCAGAAAAGAGGGAGCCACAGAAGGGGACTCCCAAATTCTGCATGTATCTCAAGAATCTCTGGGAATTCTTAGAGACTAAGGCCAAATCTAAGAATAAGACAGCCCCGCCAGACCCCACATAGCACAGCTAAGGCTAGAAGACCTGAACTGAGACGGTAGCTGCTGCCCACCACAAGAGAGACAATGCCTGGAGTTTTATTCCAGCAAATTAGCTGCCTACTAAAACAAACATTCAATATTCTTCTAAAATGATACTCTAGAACTGCATTGTTCAATATGGTAGTCACTAGCCACTCCAAATTGAAATCTGCTATAAATATAAAATATACACGAGGTTTTAAATATTTAGTATGAACAGAGATTATAAGTCTTAATTTTATAAAATAATTTTAGATTATAAAATATCTTAATTTTCATGTGATTACTTTGATTATAATCATCCCAAAGGATTATATTTTGGATATATTGGGATAAACAAAATTACTAAAATTAAAATCGAGATTTTTTTACTATTTTAATGTGTCTTCTAAAAAATCCAAATTAACAGGCTGGACATGGTGGCTCACGCCTGTAATCCCAACACTCTGGGAGGCCAAGGCAGGTAGATCATCTGAGGTCAGGAGTTTGAGACCAGCCTGGCCAACATGATGAAACCCCATCTCTACTAAAAATACAAAAATTAGCCAGACATGGTGGCACACACCTGTAGTCCCAGCCACTCAGGAGGCTGAGGCAGGAGAATTGCTTAAACCTGGGATATGGAGGTTGCAGTGAGCTGAGATCACGCCTCTGCACTCCAGCCTAGGTGACAGAGCCAGACTCTGTCTCAAAAAAAAAAAAAAAAAAAAAAATCCAAATTATATATCCAGTTCTCATCTTATTTCTGTTGAACAGTACTTCTGTTCATTAGTGTATCATTCACAGTGTTCTGGGTACAATCCAAAATTACTAGTCATACAGGGAAACAGATCCATACTCAAAAGAGAAGGCCATTAATGGAGACTGACTGCAAGATGACGTATATGTTGGAATTAGAAGAAAAGAATGTTAAAACAACTATTGTAACTATGCTCAAAAATGTAAGGAAAGCTATGCTCATGGTCACAGAACATTTAGGGAATCTCAAGAAAAAAAGATACTCTACAAAACACAATTTTACGACTAAAAAAATACAATATCTGAAATTTTAAAAATTCACTCCATGGATCTAACAATAGAGTAAGATGATGAAAGATTAGTGAAGCTGAAGATAGAAGTTTGGACATTATTCAGTCTAGAAAATGGGAAGGAAAAAATTGTTGACAATGAGCAAGACTCAGTCACCTGTGGGGCAGTATCAAGCATTTTAGCATAAGGGTAATTGGAGTCACAGAAGGAGAGGAGAGAGAAGATGGAGCAGATAATAATCATTTAAGGAACAGTGATCAAAAATTTCCCAGGTTTAGTGAAAGACAGATGAGAAGTAATCAGATCACATCTTCATATTTCAGCTAGATTCCAGATTAATTCAAGGTGCCATAACAAAGCCCTCTGGTCATTACAACAAGTGGGCCAGTATAGCAAGTTCATGATTTTGCCTCCCATGTATATTCTAAGAGAGAACCTTGCTGCACTGCAAAACTGAAAACAGAAAATCATGCAGGAAAACACCTGTAAAACAAAGTGACATAAACAAACATGAATGTAAACTCTATATATATAGAGTGCCACAGAGCTGTGCTAAGCCTATGATAGATAACATCAAGTGTGTGTATTGCTACAGAAAGTTGAGAGTCATTCTGGCTTGATGGACCACAGTCCTGCAGTCTTGCTATGTTTTAGCCAAGTTCAAGCCAAACACACTTCAGACTAAAAGCAATTTCAGAAGCACGTTCTTAGTATCTCCATAGAACGGGGGTCAGCAAACTTCATCTGTATAGGTCTAGAGAATAAATATTTTTGCCTTCACAGGCCACATGTGGTTTCTGGCACATTTTTTTCTATATTTTGAGTCATAATCCTTTAAAACATGTAAAATTTGTTCTTTACTCTTGGGTTGTACAAAAATAACCCCGCAGGCCAGACTTAGCCCACGCATAAGAGTTTGCTGGCCTCTATCTCAGATTATTGATTACTCTCATTTTGCCCACTGAGATATTGGGACCACACCCTCAGCATGAGCCAGAGCTCTGCAGGTATTAGCTTAGGGAATGTATTTTCTTATTATACAAAGGAGAACATGTTAGAATACTGAATTTCTTTTTATTGTGTAACTTGATAAATATTCTATTTCTGCCTCCCCACCACTTCTCTTTTCCCACCTCCTTCCACTCCCTTCCTGACTGTAAAATCATGTGAATCAGACTTAAAGAATGAGTGGAATTACTTAGAGCCGAGAAGAAAATGAAATTGAAAAACAAGAGAAAATAGCACCTAAAATCTGCCTTAGAGAGCCCAGACAGGAAGTGCCTGGATGCCTGCCCTAGGCTGGTTTTGTTTGCTAATTTGTTGATTTGTTTATTCTGAACCATCTGACATTGTATTTTTTCTTAAAAGTGCCATGACTCATCAAAGAGGATTTATTGTTTGGCTAAAGAAATATATAATCTGATAATAGATTTTAAAGCTCTTGCAAGTCCTAACAAGATAGATCTATGCATATATACATACACATACATATATACATACACACACGTAAATATGTCTACATGCCCAATATACATCTATATATACGTATTATGTACAGTAGTCCCTGCTTATTTGCAGTTTTGCTTTCTGTGGTTTCAGTTACCCAGGGTCAACCATTGCCCAAACATATTAAAAGGAAAATTTCTGAAATAATTCATCAGTTTTAAGTTGCTTGCTGTTCCAAGTAGTGTAATGAAATCTCACACCGTACCA